CCAGGGGCTCTCTTGGGCCGTAGGCCCTCCTGGCTGTCTGGGGGTGTCTCCTGCGGCCGTCGCGGGACCGTGTTGGGGCCATCTGGATCTTGGGGCCGGATCTCCTGACTTCGGGGGCGGCAAAGAGGGGGGTGATGACTAGGGGGGGGTGGATGTCATGGCGGGGGCCATGATTTTTCCCCAGATTTCATGGCGCCTCTTCTTGTTTCATTACCTCCCTGGCCACCCCGCTGGGCCGCGCACGTGCCGCTGGTCATGATTTGCACCCCCCCCTCTTGGACACCCCCCTCTTGGCCGCCCCCGATGACTGACTCGCCACGCCACGAAGGGCGTCCGCAGCGCCCCTCGACGCGCGCTGCCGAGCGAGAGCACGCTGAGCACGGCAGGGGCTCCGGGCAGACCCCAGGCCACTGTGCAGAGGCAGCCCCTGCTACCCAATCCTGCCCTCCCACACAGCCTGGCCGCGGCACGAGGTGACCAGGGAGGGGCGGGGCGCAACCGGGGTAGGCGGGGTAACTCAGCCACGCGCAGAGGGGGGTGGGGGGAGAGGGGAGGGCTTCTTAGAAGCACCCCTGCTTCTTAGAAGGCGCGGGCCTGATCTATAGATGTAAGGCCGGCGCCTTCTCAGAAGCAGCCTGCTTCTAAGAAGCCCTCCCCCCTCCCCCCACCCCCTTGTGCGCGCCGCCAAGTAACTTCCATCCCCCCTCGTCGATCCCCCTCCCTCGTTCCTCGCGACCGGGCTGCCAGCTCGGGCAGGCCGTCGACTGCGTTGCGCCCTTCAAGTACGTGGCGCCGGACAAGGCCGGCACGTGCTGCCCGCTCTGCCTCGCGGACGAGAAGGCTCGCGGTCGACGCGGCAGCGTCGGAGAGAGCGTTTTGTGGGCCAGCTTGGGGCCCACCCAGCAGCCGGCTCTACAGCAGGGGTGGACCCAAACGGTGTTTTGGCGATTTCGTGGGCCGTTTTCGTTGTGATTTCGTTTTGCGGTAAAACCGGATTGAAGACAAAACGAGGGAAAACGAAAACAGCACGAAGACGATAAACACCGCTTAGGTTCAGCCCTGCTCTGCAGTCATGGCGCTGAGGAGCGGTGCAGTTCGGCTTCGGAGGGGGCTCGGCAGTTCTGCTTGCGCGCCCCTTGAAGTTTTGCCACGGAGCCCCCTCGGCGTTCCTTGGAAGGGGAGGGGCCACTTCCAAGACGAGAGGCAACGGCGAGGGAACGTCTCCCAAAAAGGGGCTCGGCGGTTTCTGGGAGATGTGTGAATTGATTCTTCGGCTTACGCCGCACCGCCGAGCCCTTGGGGGGCTCCCGCTAGGTCTCTTGGGGGCCTCCTGGCAGCGCTTTGGAGGCCTTTTGGGGGCCGTTTTGGCGCCTCTTGGGGCCTCTTTTTGGCCTCTGGTCGGCCTCTTGCAGCCTCTTGAGGGCTTCTTGGGGGCCTCTTGGTCCCTCCTGGAGGCTTCTTGGGGCCGAGGGCTCGGAACTTTCGTTCGGGTCCCCTGCCTGGACCCCCTCCTGGAGTCGTCTTGGGGGCCTCTTGGGCCGTCTTGGGGTCCTCTTGGGCCGTCTTAGAGCTTTCTTGGGGCCTTCCTGGGCCGTCTTGGGGCGATCTTGGAGGCATCTTGGGCCGTCTTGGACGTTGTGAAAGCCCAAGAAGCGAATGTGCTAAAATCATACGTTTCCCCCAGGGAATGCTTCTGGGGGCCCTCTTGGGACGCCTCTTGGGGGCCTCGTGGGGCGTTTGGGGGGCATCTTGGGCCGTCTAGGGGCCATCTTGGGCGTCTTGGAACGATCCATCGGCGACTCGGTGCCCTCTTGGATCATCTTGTGGGCCTCTTGGGGCCCTCATGGCCAGTCGTGAGGCCCGTGGCCCTCCAAACCGACCGGGCCGGGCCCCGGGAGGAGGGGTTTGGGAGGGGGAAGCATCTCACACGCCGATGACCCCCAGGGGTCGGCGGATTTGAAGCAACGGGCTTCGTTCCTCATTTAGCGTTCCTTCTGGCAGTGCCACGACTGTAGTCAACTTCGGCTCAAGTTGACAGAGTCTCGACGCATGATTGGAGCGAGTGGCTCCAGGAAGGCCCCCTGAACGAGGACCCGACAGAACTCTGGAGACTCGAAACTGCCGAGACTAAGGCCCCAAGTGTTCTCGAGCTCTGGGGGCCGCTTTCTTGCCGCAGGGCCGTCAGAAGACGGCACGGGGTGAAGACGGCTGGTCCTAGGAAAGGAGCCGAAATCGGACGGGGCTATGATGATGATAATCCGTACAGGAGCGTTCCGGAACGCTCTCAGAGCGTTCTGGAACGCATTGATAAGACTGCGGCGCCCGAGACATCCTCCAGGGCCGCCCGATCTCAGAGATTCTCGACTTCTCCCCACTCGACTTTGTCCTCGTCCTGGCTTCGACTCACGAGAGGCCCAGGGGATGCCCCCGAGACTCGAACGCATCAGGTCGACGGAGGTCTGGGCCTGGGAGGGCAGGACGAAGTTTGGTGACAGCGACGCCCTCGCCCTCGGAGGGTCGATGGTCGAGGACCGAGCTCTTCGGAAGTTTTCAGCACTTCTCTGGGCCTCCACGGGCCTCCAGAGTGTCTGAACGAGTAGGATGATGAAGTCCGGTGGCGGGGGCGTCCTCGAGGATCTCGGCCGATCGATGATCGAGGTGTTCGGGCGCGTTTGGCCTTTACTGGCCTTCCAAAGGCCTCCATGGGATTCCGGGAGGACCTCAGGGGGCCTGCGGTGAACTCTGGAGACATCGGGTGGCCTGGGGAGGCATCTGGGGACATCCGGAGACCTTAGGGGACCTCTGCGGCGGCGATGGTGACGGCGACAGCTGCGACGTGGACGGCGGCTGCGCGGCTGGCTGGCTGGCTGGCTGGCTGGAGGAGGAGGAGGTGGGGAGGAGGTGTTCATCAGCTCGCAGAGCTTCTGGGGTCTCTTTGGGGGCTCAGGAGGGAGGAAGCCATGCACGAGCAGGGGGACATCTTTGAGCGGGGGGCGGAGGCTCCTCCGGGGGGGCGCGGAGGGAGGGAACGGCGGGGGCTGCACGCGGCGTCGGTTGCCGCACGGGCGTTCTCTCCCTCCTGCTCCCGCCCCCCGCTCCTCTCGCTCCTTCCTCTTACCCCTCCGCCTCCTCCGCCCTCTCCTCCCTCCTTCCTCTTTCCTCCTCCCCCTCCCTCCCCCTTCGGGCGTTCCGTGTCCTCGTGTCCCCTCCACCACTCCCCTCCTCTGCGGCCGAGGACGTGCCCGAGGACCGCTCGTGGGCAAAGGGCATGTCGGGCGGCGTGGGCATCGACAACAATGCCGACCCCATCCTGCGCCCCGCCCCCCCCGCGGCCCCGGAGGAGAGACGGGGGAGCAGCGGGAGGAGTTAGGGGAGAAGGATCGAGGATCCAAGATACTCTGGACGTGCCCTCGGGAGGAAGATGTTGCACGATTGCATCCAGAGAAAGGGGCCTGAGAACACTTCACTCAATGCTTCGCGCACCGTTCTGCACCACATGCGCAAGCTCATCAGTTCAAGTCATTGTCATCACTCGCGATCGCTGTGATTGAGACAGAGACGGGATGAAGCAAGCGCTGCTACCCTTTCCTCGTCGCTGCTCCGCTGTTGCTGTGTTGTCTACGCTGGCGTCCGCATTCCTCTTCGTTCCTCCCCCTCTGCCCATCCCTCCACCTCCTCTTCCCTGCTCGCCAATATTCTCCCGCATGCCTGGGAACTTGCCTGCTCATGTCGTAATGCAGCCCCCCTTCCGAATCGTGAGGGCGGGCTGGACTGGACGGGCAGTTCGTCCCCAGCCCTCCCTGCTCTGACGTGGTGCTTCCCCTCTGGGCCCCTTGGTCTTCTCCTGCGGGGTCCTGGTTGGGACGGAGGGCATCCACCCTGCAGAGCTGGCGCGGTCATGGCCCACGAGCGGCGTCGTGCCTCCAGATCAGATCGGTTTTCCCGCGTCTTCGTCTCCCAGTGGCAAGGCCACCCTTACCGTCGGATCTCACGAGTTCTCGTTTGGTCCACCCGCACACCTCTTCTCCCCTCTCCCCCGTCCCCACGTCCTCCCCCGCCCCCACCTTTCGCCTCTAGCCTTCCACCCTCTCCTCCCTGCTCTCTGCTCCCTGCCGCCCCCCCCCCTCGGGGGCCCAACAGAAGCGTGGTCACGCATCCCTCCTCCTTTCCCCTCCCCTCTTCAGAACCATGGTTAACCTTGCTTCGGGCCCTCGGACACCCGCTCAGCCGCTGAGCCGTCCCCTGCCCTCCTCCCCTCCTCCTCTTCGCCCCCCCTTCGCTTCCCCTCGCCCACCTCCTCGGCTGCCGTGGCCGCAGGACGTGTCATCGCCAGGCAGACAAAGGGCTATCCGATCCTTCCCACCTCCTCTCCTCCACCCTCATCTCTCCTCCTCCTCCTCCTCCTCCTCCTCTCGTCCTCCTCCTCCTCCTTCTCCTCCTCCTCTCGTCCTCCTCCTCCTCCTCCTCATCCTCCTCCTCCTCCTCCTCCTCTCGCCCTCCTGCACCATGCCCAGCGCGACGTCGCCCCGCCTCTTTGCTGTCTGTCTGCCTCTCTTGCGGGAGGGGGTGCCCTGGCGCAGGTGCCGCGACGCGATGTGCCCGCCCCTGCATTGCCCAGAGGAGCTCCCCGCCGCCGCCTACGCCGCCGGTCGTCGTCGTCGTCGTTGTCGTCGCCACAATCGCCCGTCCTCGCAGTAACAACTTTTGTGGGGTGCTTGCCGGGGGGGAAGCAGGGCCGCCCGACGCCTGCCCGAGCTCAAGCTTTCGAGGGGCGCGCAGGCAGGGCGCCGTCGATCTTCTTCTGCCGTGGCGGGCCCCCCTGGCGGGGCGGCAGCTCCCGCGGCTGCGCGCCCGTGCTCGCCCCGGCGGCCCCCGCAAAGTTCCGCCCGCGGCCCCGCCCGCCCCCGCCCGCGGCCGCCTTCGTGGGCACGGCTCCCGCGGGTCGCCCACCAAGATTCGGGGGAGCGTAAGACCCGGGTTTGCCGGGACTCGGGTTCGCCACCGTTTTTTGACGACCGCGCCTCGGATTTTGACGAGGAGGAGTTTCGTGGGATGTCTGCAGCGGGAGGCCTCGTCAAGATGCAGGCTCGGCCTCGTCATTTTTGTGACGACCTCGTCGGGGATTTCCGAGTCCCCCGTACCCGGGTTTTACGTCTCCCCGAAAGATGGCCGAAGTTGGCTCGAAGCTGGCCCAAGGCGGCCCAAGAGGCCCTCAAGAGGGCCTCCAGGAAGACCAGAAACGGCCCGAAGCATGGATTTTCCCCGAGTAGTTTCGGCCATACGAAGGCTTCTTTTCGGCCATACGAAGGCCCGATACGGCCCAAGAGCTCCCAAAGATCGCCCAAAGATCGCCCAAGAAACCTCCAAGATGGCCCCAGAACGGCCCAAGAGGCCCCCAAGACGGCCCCAAGAGGCCCCCAAGACGGCCCAGGAGGCCTCCAAGACGCCCAAGATGGCCGCGGCGTTGGCTCCCGTGTGCACACAGCGGTCCGAGAATCCGCAGGTCGGCAGGCCGTGCACTTCGCAACGGCGGCTCTCAGTGCGTCGACGACGTCTCAGGACGACTGGCTGATGACAGGCCCGCGGAGCAGCCAGTGGTGTACTGATGACATGCGCAGGAATGCAGGCGGTCCCACGAGCTGGCATTCTGAGTGGAAGGCAGAGGCGCGTCTGAGAGACTCCGGACGCAATCTGCCAGCACCATGAGACGAGTTGCCACCTCCTCGAGATCAGCAGCTGCTAGGACGAGGTGAACTGTGTGGATCTGGTCGCCTTCGAGCTGATCTGCCGGCAGATACAGCTCACGAGGAGCGGCACTACGAGGACAGAGTTGTGACCCAGGTCGCTGCTGAAGGAAAGACGAAGGATAGGAAACATCACGTGAGCAACGCCGGGCTGACCACCGACGCTGACCACTACATCGGGGTGTCCGCCAGAAAGGAGGATCTCTGCATCTCCCCGCAACTTACCAAATACATCGCGAAGCAGCTCAAGTCTGCGGCTGCCATTGCCAAACAAAACCCGCGAAACCCGCAAGGAACGAGCGGCGCTCGCATGACCCTACTCAAGCTCTCCCAGGCGGGTGCCAGCACGTCGGTGCCGCATCGGCCGCCGTTGTTGCCAATTTTTTACGCCATGAGGGAGGCTGAGACGTCCCTCCTGCCGCTGCAGGTGCTGCCGCAAATGCCTTCGCAGATGCGACGACCCGGACATGTTGTTTAGGCGATGTTACACCGACTCAGGCATCTTGCGCCGACTCCCCCAACCTCCCACAATATCGATTGCACAACATACAGGAGCACGAGCAGGATAGCGAGGTGCGCCGTAATGGGTGACTTCCACACGTTTCATATGAGTTCGAGGGGGCTGGCCACCGATGACAGACTCGATGAGCTGCTCTCGGAGGTGTCTGGCACGCATTGGGATGTTATTCTTCAGAACGTGACGATGAGGTGCATCACGACAGAAAGATTTCTGACCGCAGATGGACACCTGTTTTGCACAGCGGGGCATGGCAAACACACCCATGCATTTACCATTCTCTTGAACAGTCGTTGGCGTACTTTTCTCGCGAAGTTCGTGCCAATTGGCCAACGACTCGCATACATGGACCTGACGATGCATAAGTACGACTCCGGCTGACAACGGCTTATTTCCCGCACGTTGGTTACCAACACCACCACGTGCAGCGCATGTACGACGCTATTCGCGCAATACTACAAGAAACCCGGCAGAATTGTCGACACTTCGTTTTGAGTGACGATTGCAATGCCAAAGCGGGCACCTACGAAGATGGAGACACCCTCGAAGCAGTCGGATAACACGGAATTGGTCCTAGTACTGCGCGGGGATGGTGGTTGAAGAATTCGGCATCTTTTCACACATTGGTGTTGATGAGTACGAAGTTTAAGAAGACAGTAAGTACCAGCAGACTACCCAGGCAGACCAACGACATCATGATTGGTGCGCGTTTCTGGCGCACGCTCCAGGATAACGGTGTAGACAGATGTCTGGGCTAGGGTCTGATCGTAGGTGCGTACACATACGGAGTGCAATCACTCGGCCAACCACGCCCCCAATTTGTGCGACTACAGCCACAACAAAAATATCAAATTTCGTGTCTTCTCCATGGCCACCTCCGGTCAAGCAGGATTTAGCCACCGCCGTCGGCGACGAGGTTCTACGTACTAATCTTGCTGATGGCTTCGATGCTCGATGCACGCAGCTCGCGGACATGCTGAACCCTATACTTGCTAAGTGTCGCGGGCCTCCAACGACGGCGAAAGACCGGGACGCGCGTGTGTCGTCCGTCGTCCGTCGTCTCCGACCAGATCTGGGTAATTTTTCACAGCTGCCACTCGCGTTGGTTCGAAAATGCTTAGCGGCTCAGGCTACAGTGAGGCAATTTACAAACGCAAGCTTGATCTCCTTGGGGACTGTTACGTGTAGAGGATGCTGGAGGCGGAATGAGGGGTTGGGGGCAGGGGGGATGCGGCAGCCGTTGACGTAGACGTTTCTTTATGTGTATGAGGCACCAAGATGAGTGCGCTAAGATGTAAATCGATGGATCAGAGGATTACGACATCGCGGGCCACATGGCGACGTACTGTTTTCAGACAGGCATAAGCCAAAATGGTACAGAAGAGGTTTCGAGGAGGAGGGGTGTAAGAGGGTGGAGCAGAGGGGATAGGGGGAGGAAAAGGAGAAAGATGAGGCAGGAGGGGGGTGCATAGAGCCAGTCCAGCGACGACCGTCCACCTGTCCGGAACCTCCCACCTCCGCCGCCTTCTCCCCTGGCTCATTCGTGTAAGCATCATCGCAGCTTTTTTGCACATCCTGATGGTTGCGTGCAGAAGGCTCTCGGTGGGACTCGCTTGACACAACTGTTCTTCGCTCGCGTTGCTCGTGTTGTCGCACGTCTGCTTCAGATGGGCATCTGCGGTCTCACGGTAGCACGTAGCACGAAGATAGTCCAAAAGAGCCCCGATAGCATCCCATAATGTTCCCAAAACAGGCCCAGTGGTCACCGAGAGCACCTTCAGAGCGTTCGAGGAGAGCCTGGATGTAAGTTGTCTGGGTGCTCCGAAGGGACGCGGTAATCTGAAGCGCCCGTGTTTTAGCCGATGAATTTCAGCGTGGCCCCCAAAGGACCCCAAGAGCTCCCATACACGCCCAAAGAGCGGAGGGGTGGGGGCGATTTGGAGCCCCGAGCTTGCTTGCATGAGCTGAGCAGGCCTCCCGTCCATGCTTTTCAATGCGGGGCAGGTGAGGTTACCGGGTCGATGTCGTTGCCAAGCTTTGCGGACGTGCCCCAAATCGCTTGATTGTTACACACCTCTTGCGCTCGCAACAAATGCAGGAGATGCCTCTCGGACAGATTCAGGTGTCAATCGATCGAAGCGTGTGTAATGAGTCATCGAGGTGGCGAGTGGTCAAGTAGTTGTGTTTGCTGATTGCGTGGGTCATTCAAGGCCACCCCGCGCCTGCGTGCAGATTTTTCGCCGCCGTGACCGAACTTGTCGAGCCAGAGTCATAGCCGAGACCACCTTCCCGAGAAAGGGGGGGAAGGGGCGGCGGGGCGGCCGCGCCCGCAGTACGACCAGATGTTTGACGGCCGCTGCTGCACCAAGTGCAAGACGGTCTCTCCTCATCTTGCGGGAAGAGGACGGCAGCACATAGCGGCAATTGCAGTGGCAGCAGCCAACGGCGCGGTGACAGCAGTGACAATGACAGCGACGACGTTGAGGAACGGAGGTGGGAACACGAGGAGGAGGAGGAGGAGGAGGAGGAGATGGAGGAGGAGGAGGAGGAGGAGGACGAGGAAGGAGGACGAGGACGACGACGATGACGGCGACGAAGCAGGAGGAGGAGGAGGAGAATATCCCGTACCAGGATCGTAAGCAGGAGCAGGAAGAGTTCAGGGAAGTGGAGCAAGAGCAGCAGTTGTTGAAGACGAGGCGCAGCCAGCTGGAGGAGTGGACGCGGGGCCAGGCGTCTGTCGTCACTCCCGCAGACTTGTCTTCTGGGTACGACGCCACGCTGAAGGAGGCGCGCCCCCCCGTTCGGAGGGGCGCGAAGCGGCGACTGGAGGACCTCAGAGGTTGATAATGCCGGAATGCACCAACCATACACCTACGCCGATCCTGGCCAGACCGATCTTGAGTCCAGCATCGTTGTATATTGCTCCTTGGCCAAACCAGAAGGGCGTATACAGCCTGCCCTGGATCGATGTAGGTGTATTTTTCGCGCCATGCTATGATGAATTCTACGCGGAGGAATCGGGCTGCCTCAGGCAATGCTTGCCGCAGGACGCTTGATTCATTTCTCCTCGGGGTGGCGCCGGTGGCGCAGTTAACTGGACAGCCCCACCTCCGTGCCCGCGATGCATTGATATGAATCCACATTGGTCATCTTACCAAGGATTGTGCAGTCTCGAGCACGCTCTGCAGCTGGTATGGACGCAACTGCTCTACTGAGCTTTCCAGCAGGCACTTCCTAAAACGATATTGGGGAGATCTCGGGGCCGTTTTCGAACCGTCTTGGAGCGATCTTTAGCAGTGTTGGTCTTGCCTTCTTGGGGCCCCCTTGTGCATTCCCGAAGGCGTCGTCGTGTCCCGTAGCGAAGTTTCAAGCGAAGTTTCAAGCGAATATCAGAGAACACATTTACAGTTGTTTTCAATTCTAGACGCTTTGCGTGACCCCACCAGCGGGCCAGGTGTACCTTCCGCACTGCGTCACATCATGTCGTTGATCTTTCGCGTGCGAACGCATCCTTCCGCAGTTGTTTTGAGGGTCGACGTGCATCGGTTGGTCACTGACTTCAGTCGTGCCTTTACAGCCGCGTTGGTGCGTACTCTGAAGCTGCGACGGTTCGCTGGCGCCGTCAGAGTCCCTTCTTCCTGCAGGATGCCTGCGTCAGCTCTCTCGCCTACGGTCTCGCTCATACCCGGCAGACACCCTGGGCTCTCTGACACTGTTCTTGCACGGAGTCAAGATCCCCACTGCCCTGTGGTCGTCGGACCGGACACGACCCTTGACTGGGGGTGTGCATCGCGCCATTTTGGCAGCGTAATTCCTGCTCCCTGGGTGCCAGTCTCCCCTCAGACTCCCTGGGCTGCAGCTTGCACCGCCGCCTGATCCGCGGCCCGCGCGCGCCCGGCTAATTTGTTACGGCCGCAGCCCGACCGTGACCTGCCGCCGCCGGCGCTTCCGCCTGCGGCTGTAAAAAAAGTAATCCCACCAGCCCATCCAGAAGCGATGCCAAGAGGAAGTGCCTCGATCAGGGAGGTGGGCAGCGCACAGAGGAAGGGTCCTTCAGTGGAGGCCTCTTGGAGCGTATTGGGGGCCTCTTGCGGTTTTGGACGCCTCTTAGAGCGTCTTGGGTGCCTCGGAGAGCTTCTTGGGGCCTCCTGGGGGTCTCTAGGGGGCCTCTTGGAGGCCTCTGGGGCGCCTGTTGGGGCCTCCTGGGCGCCTCTTGGGGCCCTCTTGAAGCGCTCTTGGGAGCCTTGGGAGCGCTCTTGGAGCCCTCATGGGCCATCTTGGAGCCATCTTGAAGCCTCGGATGACAATCGGACGCGAAAAGGTGAGAAAACCCCAGCCATTGATTTTCCATTGGTTTTGGAAGGATGTTGGCCTCTTCGGGGCTGGCCACATGGAGCCGTCTTGGAGCGGTCTTGGGGCCTCTTGGAGCATCGTATGAGCCATCTTGAGGCATCTTGGGATATCTTGAGCCATCTTGGAGGTCATCTTGGGCTCTCCCAGGCGCTCTTGGAGTCATCTGTGCCCCCCCCCCCAGGAGGCCAACATGTGGCCACAACCTCAGTACGATCGATGATTTTGGCATTCTCGCCGAGGCCTCTTGGAGCGTCTTGGGTGCCTCTGGGAGGCCTCTTGGGGCCTCTTGGGAGTCTCTTGGGAGCCTCTTGAGGGCATCCTGGGGGCCTCTTGGGGGCCTCTTGGGACCACATGGGACCATATCGGAGCCATGTTGGGGCCCCTTGGGGCCTCCTGGGCGCCTCTTGGGCCCATCTTCGAGGAGATCGATCAAAGAAGGGGGGTCCCTCACTTAGGGCCTCCCCTCGGACAGGCCAAACTGGGGCCCTAACCCTAGTACAATCACTGATTTTGGCTTCCTCGCCGAGGCCGTCTTGGACGCCCCAACCTTTCGCGAACCCCCCCGTCCAGGTCCAGGGGGGGGGGGTAGGGGGAGGGGTACACCCCTCCCCGAAGGGGAAGAAAGGGGGTGGAAGAGGAAACGCCTTAAACCACCTACGCCCAGAGGGCTGGTGGGATTTCTTGCGCCTCCCAGGATCCTGTAGATGTAGCTCGGAGGCGTCTTGGGACCAGTCTCTAGGACGAGACAACTCCAGCAGGAACAAGGTCGGAAGTGAATTCTGACAGCATGGCGGGGTCGATGGGGGTCTCCCCCGCAGACTTGCACAAACACTGAATACCATGCATGCGTATTTGCACGTATAGATATAACGGGGGACCCAGCCACCACAAAGTGGGAGGCCCTGGGGCCCAGTGCATTCTTGGGGCGCCTCAGATCCGCGCCCACAGCGCTCAGACCGCCGTCAAGGCGGCTCAGGCCCCCGAGTCGCCCCTAAGACGGCGTCCAGAGGTCTCACACGGCTGAATAGAGCCTCCAGACGCCTCGAGAGACGCACGAATCAGCTCCAGACGACCCCAGGAATCCCTTCAGGACGCCTCCGAAAAGCTCGAAATCTTCAAACACGAATGGGGAGGGGAGTACGTAATGTGTATTTTCTCGCCTTTTCGCCTCCGATGGGCTGCTGAGGCCCCCCAGGGACGGGGAGGTCCCGCTCAGATCCGCGCGGTCCCTCACTCCGCTGGACCCACCAGCAACCCTCGAAATTGGCGACAGTTTCGCAATCGCAGCCCCCCAGGGACGGGGAGGTCCCGCTCAGATCCGCGCGGTCCCTCACTCCGCTGGACCCACCAGCAACCCTCGAAAGTGGCGACAGTTTCGCAGATCGCAGCCCCACAGGCAAGGCAAGAGGAGCCAAGAAGGAGGGGGGCGGGAGGCGGGAGGAGGAGAAGAAGGACGCGACCGCAGTGGTCTATTCGAAACGAATGCCCAACCAAGGAGGGTTGGGAAAAAAGGAGGAGGGAAGGGGCGGAGGAACAGGAGGAGGACGAGGAGAAAACTGTGAAGGAATGATAGTGGTTTGTCGCGGCCAACAATCTCGTGAACTTGTCTAGGACTTGAGCGCGCACGAAGCGCCGGCGAATCTGTTTATATTGACATCGAAACGTGCGATATGAACACGCCCGAACATGGCTCAAGGCTCCAGAAATATCCATGACACCCGAGCCAGCTCTTGGTGGCAAAGGACGGGGCCTCTGGATGCCCCAGGTGCATTTGTGAATTTCACGTTTGTGATATTTCTCATGTCCGAGAAGCGTAAGAGTCGATTTTGCCTGGACTTTGAGTTGCTGTCGTTTTTTGATTGTCCAGGCGTGCATTCAGATGGTTGCAGCGGGAGTTCGCGTTCTATTTCTGGCTAGGCATCGCCATTGTTCCTACGGCCCCGTCATGCGCATTCGAGTCCCCCCAAACTCGAGGCTGATAAGGTCCCATATCTTCGATCCTGCGATCCCTGATCTAGGTCCTCCGCAGGGGCGCGAGCAGAATCGCCCGCCGCGGTCTCGGCCGCAGAGGTGCCCGTTTCCAGGGCGAGGGCCTCGCAAGGGCGCGGAGAACCGCGCGTCGCACAACGCATGGCTCAGAGCGCGATGTCTTGGCATCGCTCGGACGTGTGCATTTTTCCCTCGGCGAGGACCATCGATGAGCATCCTCGACCATTCGGCGAAAAAAACACGCACGAAACCGAAAATTACCCCGACGGAAGGACCCCACATGAGAATCTCTTTAGCTTGCATGGGGGTATCCTCCTGCCCTTTCCCTTCTCCCACCTACTCTTGCCTCCTCGTTCTCCTCCTGTCTGCTCCTCCTCCTGCCTCAACCCCTGCCTCTTCCTCCTCTTCTTGCCTCCTCCACCTCCTCCCCCTCCCCCTCGTTATGCTTCCTCCCCCCCATTCCCCCTGCCCCTCCTGCCTCCTGCCTCCTCCTCCTGCTCTCCCTCTCCCTTCTCCTCCTCCTCCTCCTCCTCATCCCCTGTCCTCCTCCTCTCCCTCTCCCTCATCCGCTTCCTCCTCCTCCTCCTCCTCCTCCTCGTTTCCATATTCCTCCCCCCTCCTCCCCCCCCCTCCCTCCTCCTCCTCCTCCTCCTCCTCCTCCTCCTCCTCCTCCTCCTCCTCCTCCTCCTCCTGCCTCCTCCTTAGGCCTCCTGCCCCCTCCTGGGGCCTCCTGGGGCCTCTTGGGGCCTCCTGGAGCCTTCTGGGCCTTCCGGGACCTACTGGGGCCTCCTCGGGCATTCCTCCTCCTCCTTTTTCCTCCTCGTCCTTCCTCCCCTCAGCCTCTTCCTCTTCCTGCTTTCCTGTCTCGTCCTGCATCATCCCTCCTCCTTTTCCTGGCAATCCTCCTCCTCCTCGTCCTCGTGCGGAACACGACCCAGAGGAAGCGCACGACGGCGTCCCAGCCGATACGCGCCGGAGGACGACCCAGAGGAAGCGCGCGCCGGAGGATGACCCGGAGGAACCACGTGAGCTGCGGGACCCATAGGAAGGCTCCCGCCTGACGCGTCCTCACAATTCACTCACAGACGAGGGTCCCGCTTGATGCTTCTTCCAAATTCAGACCTGAGGAGCCCAAAAGTGACGACAGTTACAGGAATCCGATGACCCACCCGCTCGGATTAGTAACATGATTTGCGGGCTCCATAGGGAGGGGGCGCCCGCCTGAGACTTCCTCGCAATTCACTCACAGACGAGGCTCCCGCTTGATACTTCCCCCAAATTCAGACCTGAGGAGCCCAAAAGTGACGACAGTTACAGGAATCCGATGACCCGCTCGGATTAGTAACATGATCTGCGGGCCCCATAGGGAGGGGGCTCCCGCTTGAGACTTCCTCACAATTCACTCACAGACGAGGTTCCCGCTTGATACTTCTTCAAAATTCAGA